TATGCTTGAGTAAAATGAACATTGTTCTTTTATTCTATGAATGTGTCTGAAGATTCAAGCAAAAATGTTATATTTATTTGTAGTAAATGAGAAATGGACAAAATAACGAAAAAGATGCAGTGCTTTTGGACCTGAAATAATGCAAAGAAAACAAGTTCATATTGATTTGTCTATTAAATATATATTATATGTTTCACTTATGGAGTGACATTAATGATATCAATAGAATAGAATAGAAATGTCTTTATTGGGGAAATTTATGTGCAAAAGTAGCAAAGTGACTCAAAGTGGCAGAAAAATAAAAACACAGTAAGGACAAAAATTCAACATGAATACTGTGTAGTTATAAAAAATACTTTAGTTTACTGAATGACTCTCTATAATTAATTTTTCTCTGATTACAGGCTTCAAGCTGAACTTTTGTATCTAAAGCAAACAACCAGAGACTGAGAACTCTGACAATAAAATGAACGTGTAGGACCCCTGATTGCTTCACCTTCTCCACAGTAAATCAACCTTATCTGACTGCAGTGCAGCAAATGAGAATATATGAGACAGGGGAGGACCCTACATGTTAAAAATTATCCTCTGTCTCTAATCTGACTGATGTCTTTGGTTTTTAACCCCACGGTTCAGATTAATTGGTGCCATGCCTCCTTAGATCCCTGCCAGATCTCAGTTTCTTAGATCGACATTTGTGGGACCATTTGTCTTGTCTGGTTTCTCATTTGTCATGAGTAGCCCACTGGGACGCTATTTTCTTTTCCATTACTTCATTCGCTACAGATGAGAAATATGGCACACAGTCATTGCATAGCACTTGTTTGCATTAGTGTAGCATTTATGGAGCTGAGTTATTGCTGCCAAAACTCAGCAAGGATACCCAAAGATCCTGTTCACAGATTTATTGCAGGACTGATGTCACTTTCTGCTGGCTGTGGTTTAAACCGTCTTGCTACCAAAACAACATGCCATCTTTCATTCAAAGTTGAACAACTGATCTGAGTGCGTTGACTCTCCATTTAGCTCACTGACTGCATGAGTCATCATTCTCTGAACATGCTGTCTCTGATCTGAATGTAGAAACTCATATAGGTTTCATCTAATTTGATTTACCAACCTGAGGATAATCCTAATTGCTGGCTTTAATGAGAGAAATCATCTCTGAGGATATTGAAACTTTCCTGCTGCTGTAAACACTTTACCCTGGGCAAAAAAAAAAGGCATGAAGCCAATTAACAGGAAATTATTCCACATCTTTATTAGAAGGTTTAATCACACAGGTATTTATTCAGTGACGGGATTTTTCCTGTTTTTTTTTTTTTATTTTTTTTTTATATATATATTTTTTGTTGTACACCAACATAACATATTGCATGGTTTTGAAGAGGAAGGAAAAACGTTTTTCAAAAAGATGTGGTGGATTTATGATCAACAAAGATCAACAATCTTTAGAAGCACCTGTTGATAAAGTCATAGTTGTATTCTGTGAATACTTTTATTCACAAAATAACGTTTACATCTATTAAAGTCTAGCTAAAGCAAATAAGGTTATACTGAGCAACGAAAGTCGTCTTTTTCATTGACAAACGTATCACGTTAATTGACGAAGAGGTTTTTATATTTAACCTTTACATACAAAATGTAGAAGCTAATAAATAAAACGCTCCTCAGTTAAAGCTACTCGCACTTTCGCCTTTCACGAAAAGACCAGATGCTAATATTAGCTTGTTCATTTCAAGGCAGCATAAACTTTACCTTGAATTTAGTCTAAATTACATGTCTATTTTTTTTATTGTAAATGCGTTCATATGTGCTATTATTCTGCTGCAGCAGTAACGCAGCTATGGCTTTTATTTTTGAAAGACTTAGAACAACAAGGCGTCGTAAATCGACTGTCGCAAAATGTACAGCAGCAGCGGGAACACAAGCGTGCACAGAGATGTGCTTCACGGCTAAAAACGAGAAAAGGATATTGTCCAGGAGTAATTTTAGCTGTTCTTTGGCACTTGGTTGATGAGAGAAAAAGGTTGGTATTAGCGTTTTGTTGTGCAAATTTACGCCTAGATATATTTCACAGAGCAAACAGGTTGCTATTAAGAATAGCATTTATGGTTTCGCCCACTAGAGGGTACTCATGATCTTTGTTAAATTAGTCATGCTTAGTCAGCAAAGCAAAGATTAAATGTAATGTTATGTAAAGTTAGTTGTGACTGTCTGTGACTTTTAAGTTATGTTATAGTACATGGAAAATATAAAACTTAATGCTAAAAGGGGTTTAATGAAAATGTGGTAATGACACTCAAGGTAAAGATTGTCAAGGATAAAAAGGTAAATAATCCATTTCAGGTAAGTTAATAAGGCAAAAGGCAACATACTGTTTTAGTTACTAATGGTAATATTTGCAGTGTATATTTTGTAGCTCTTATGGTTTGTTCACATGAAAGGATTGCAAAAGAACAAGTTTGAGAGACCATATTTTTAAACGGTATGCTCCTTTTAGCCAATAGTGATGAGTGGTGCGTCACTAGATGCAGTAAGTGTTCTGCTTCCTTGGGCTGCCACTATCTGTTGGAAAGTTTTGCACGTAGGTTAATGTGACACAGTGACTCCTGCTTCAAAGTCTGCATATATTTCACGGTCATCACTTGTTCTCCACTGGAATCTCTCACAATTATTCTTGCAGTTTTAGAAATTGTTTTGCCATATGGCAGAAAACAGGCCTGTCTGAGGTTTACTTGCAGAGGTCAAGACTTCCTGTCCTGGACAAGACTGCTGGAACATAACTTTTATCTGTCAAGTTTTCATTGACATTTCAAATGTTCCTTCCCTACAATCTGTCCCCACAGCTATGTTCATGTTCCCGAAGGAATTTAAATCTGCTACAGTTGTCAGAGCAAGTAAGGAATGAGATTTATGTTACTTTACATGTGGTTCCTTGGAAAAGCTGCATGGACTTGTTATCTGATCTCCTTGGTAATTGCTGTTTTGTCAACCATTGTACAGAGGAAAAAAGGAAAATATGGGACATTTCTTCGTCCCATATCCTCACTGATTTATTTAATGTTTATGTTTTTTCAGAAAACAGTTGTGTGGAATCCACACAGATATCTCTCAAGTACTTCTTTCTGTTATTTGGAAAACGTTCTTCAGTGTCCAGAAAATGGGGTAGCACAAATCCTTCCCTAACCGCTAACCCTACCCTTGGAGAACTCTTCTAGATTTGACCTGGTAACACAGACACATGGTTGATGGTGAAACTCATCCTGAAAGGCCCGGACATATTTCACTTTTATTAGATTGAACTTCAAGAGCAAGTCATTTCCTGCTAACCTTGAGGTTCACCGCTTGTTTGCCGCTGCATGACAATATCTGTCAACACGTCTGACCAGTGGTAGTGATGGAATGAGTGATGCTTATTGCAGAGTTTATTATTCCGAGCCGCCTTTAAACGCAACATGAGCGCTACTCGCGCTGGGTTTACACCTGTGAAGGAGACCTGCTGCTGCTGTGCGGAGCTACGTAGGTTTGTGTTAGAATCACGGCAGAAAACCAGCAATGCGCAAAGAACTTTTCACAGTTTTTCCCTCCAAACTAACCGACTGAGTTGAGTAAAGCTGTTGGATGCAGGTAATGTTAGCTAAAAGATGACTAGCTAATATCAATACAGAACCTTCAGCTTAACAAGCTTAACAAGTACCTTGTAGGCTACCGATGTTTGTGTCTATTTTCAGCTACGTACATTCATTTTGCCCCCAAAAAAGTCGATCCCTCTCCCCCTCCCAGGCATCGTTTCAACCAGACAGCCATTTGTAATCCATAGGGGGGGGGGCGCAGGAAATGTTTGGAAACCACTGGGGGGGCGCAGAAGAAAAAGTTTGGGAACCACTGCTCTAAAGTGATGCTGGCTCTGTTTCAGTTTGTCATGGTGAAGAGAGAGCTGAGCCAAAAGGAAAAGCTCTCAATTTACCTCTAGTTGATCTACATTCCTACTCTCATCTTTGGTCTGGATCATGACCAAAGGACGAGATACAGGCAGCCTCTGCAGGGTGTTTGAGCTCTCATTTAGAGAAAAGAGTGAGATGCTCAAAAATCCAGGAGGGAGTCGGAGTAGAGCTGCTCCCAGATCTGGTTAAGATGCCTCCTTGAAGCCAGGATGAGACCCAAAGGAAGACCCAGGACATGCTGGACGGACAATGCTTCTTCACTAACCTGGGATTATCTTGGCCCAGGTGGCTGGAGAGAGAAGTCTGGGCCTCTCTGCTTAGTCTGCTGCCCCCATGACCCAACTCTGGATAAAGCAGAGGATAATGGATGGATTTCTGTATTGGTAATCAAACATGAAAGAAACTGACATTCTGCAAAAGTCTTGATGTCAGGAGTTGAACTCTGGACAGCTCACTCAAGGACTAACAGCTTCCATATTTGGGCCGTGTGCTCTACCCACAGCACGCTACCCCAAACAGCTGAAAATTATTAAATCATCTGGATCTGATTCAATCCCCTTCCGTGGTTTCTAGCTGCTCTTAACACAATACTGCCCGGAGGAAGTCCTGTTGGGCTTCTGGGCATGATTTCTCCCTCTGGAGGAACAGGGCACATCCCAGTGGAAGAAGAACCCAAACCAGACTCAGAACCGGCACTTCGTGAGTAACAGTAGACTGAAGAAACCAGACAATTATATCAGCTGAAAGAAATCTCACTACTGTTTGATTCAAGTTGAACTCAGAAAATTGACCAGATGCTCCACAGCACTGTTTCACTTGGTCTGCCTCTGCCTGATCAGAAGACCAGAGTTCAGTTAGCATTTCAGGAAAATGTGGATTTTCCTAAAGGAAGACATCCAACGCACTGCTCTTATAAAAGAAGAAATTATTTACCCAGATCTCCAAAATCCCAGCAGTGCAGCCAATGCAAAAGTAAATTATATATACAACACTTGACTGATAACCATGAAATTACCAAAACTATTTCAGAAATACTTTCTTTGTTCTTGGCAGATGGCAGCCTTATGTGAATAGCCAGATGCTTCCCCAAAGAATCATATCAAGTTTCTGGGTAACGTCTCCAATCGTCCTAAATGGAACGACAAGAAAACCAACCATCATTGTTCTTTCAGATAATCAGACGTGGCTGATTACCCCAAGCCTGAAACCACACGCTAAACTTGAGTAATGCAATGTTTGTCTTAGATGGACACATAAGGACACACTGTCATCGATCTTTCCAGAACTTACAGCGGTATAGTTTGCCAAGAGGAATAATTCAAAAATCTTGTAACCTTTTTTTATTTTTATGGGAAAGTAGTCGTGTTCTCTGCAGAAGAAGAGGGGATTGTAATTACTTTTGGAAACAGTGTAGTTTTTGTGAATGAGGTTTGGCAATAAAAAGGCAATACATAACCTCAAAAAGCCCAACTAGAGAAATATTTTATGAAAGTTACGGACTTAACAAGAGTGTTAGACTTTTTCTTTGTCTTCCACCCTAGACGACTGTTCATGAATGAAACGAGGAGGTTAATTGAGATGATTTATATTCTGCTGCAGATGAAAACATAAAGGTCAACATACCAGAAGCAACTGCATTAAGCCTGTAATCCTCAAGTCAAAGGATCATGAGCAGAAAACATCTGCTGATGTTCTGTTCCGTATAAAGGAAACCATAAATCACTGCTTTTTGAAAAACGAACAAAGACAAGCATGGAGACTGTGACAAATGTAATGGAAGGGGTTCTGGTGGTTAGCATGAAGCAGTTTTAAGTCACCAGACTGTAACCAATCAGTTTTATCTGTAGGTATAGCGAAATGCTTTGAAAAGTACTTTAATTATCAAAACATGCCACTTATTCTGGCGTCTTTGCTTGCTACCTAACCATATTTACAATTTTGGTCTTTAAAAATGTTCGCATTTAATCTTATTATTTTTTAAATATGCATTAATTATTTTTCTGTTTCAAACAGTTGCTAATTCCCAAAAACTGTTGTTAAATTAAATTGGGCTTGAGTTGAGGACTATCGGGATTGTTATGAAAATAATAATCTGTAAGGATATGACAAACTTTTAATAATTACTTTAATAAATGTTTTGTTTGAAAGCGAAAATGTGACCTTAGTGACACAAAACCAAAACATAATACGAATAAGAAATATCCACATCTGAAAATATTTGCAAAAAAAACCTAATTTCCACACTTTATTGTCTAGAATAATACGATGTAGTATTAAAAATTAAGTTTAAAGGCAAAAGTCATTCATTTAAATGTTCACATTTAAATTCACATGTTGTATAACTGCAGAATACTGAAATAAAAAAGCAAATCACACAACTCAGCTACAATATTATATACTGTCTTTAGTCTGCAAAGAAAACGTAAACGTTGGAGCCGCCACCATTCCAGGGAAAATAAAGTTTTTTAAACTATATAAACAAATATATCACTGAACCCTTTGATAATGTCAACGATCCAGCCAACATTTTCACTAATGATCTACTTTATGAAATTAATTTGACATTTCACAAAGATTCAGTCATCAGATCATCACCACTCTTGTTTAAATTCACAAAAATACCTGAAGCCACCAAGGACACCTTTCTGTCTTAAAATACAGATTATCCAATTGATGGTAATTGCTCTTTTACTATTTCGATTACCTAACCTGACCTGTAAGAGCTAATTAAAACACACCGCAAAAGAAAACGAGAAGAAAGAAGCAACTCGCTGGATTTCAAATTAACAAAAAGTTCTTCTTTCTTTTTTGTCATGTGAACTTTAAAACAATGTGTTTTATTAGGGTGTACGATTAATTACATAGATTATAAGTTTTTAAATTAAGCAATCGGCAAGAAGAGAAGACAAAACTGTCAAGAAAAGATGAGAGGATGAAAATAATATAAGGAAGCTGAAAGAGGCAGAATCCTATCCTGCTCTATTCATTTTTATTGATTAATTTTCTGTTTCAAACGGTTTCAAACAGTGCTGTCTATTCATTTTTAGCCAGGGGTTATTCAACTTGATGAGGAAAAAACCCTTAAAGGTGACAAATCTGAACTAAAGAACCTGACATCTGAGAACAAACCAGGAGCATAAGTACAGGATCGCTGGGATGGAAAACACATTAGATGGCATCAGTTAGCTGAATGGGAAAAGCAGAGAGGAGTGCAATCAAACTAGCAAGAAAAATAAATCATGACGCCAACAGGCTGAGAAGTGCCCCAAAATGGCAAATATGTACCCCAGCAGAGGCATTGATGCTTTTTAGCTGTTAAAGATCCTGAAAACAGAGTATTTTTCCATCCACTTTACTTTTATCCATTACTGTTTCACAAAATGCCAATAAATTAGACTGAAATAGACAAAACTGGCTTTCTTGTTTGTTCCAAAGGTGACAGAAATTCCCCTTTGACAAGATTTCACTTATGCTGCATTCACACTGAACGCAATTTGAGCGTCTGGGCGACTGGTTTTAACATTGAAAATCGATGTGGACGCGCGTCACGGCCCAGTTTGTGTCTCGCGCTGCGCAGTGGTCTAACATGGATGCTGGAGTAGAAAACTGAACTTCTGCGGTTGACATGGAGTATCAGCCAGTCAGAGAGACTGCTACCTGACGAAGGGGCCCGTAGTTCATGTCCTGCTAGGAGATGCAGGCACCGATTTGGAGGCACCGATCCTCATCCCAGCCGCTTCACACTCGGCTGCGAACCGCTCCAGTGAGAGTCGTAGATCACGGCCTGATGAAGCCAACAGAACCACATCATCTGCAAAAAGCAGAGATGCGATCCTAAGGCCACCAAAATTTATTTCATCCGCCATGGATCAAAGTATCCAGGAGAGGAAAAAAAGAGGTAAGCGGCTCCTAACCTGTGGTTATGAGCTGTCACTGTTCGCTTAATAAAAACAAGATGCAAAATGTTCAGCAAAGACATCGGAGCCTCAGTTACGATGGCAGAAGCTTTCACAACATAATATTTTGGTGTCCCTCTTAATTTCATCGGCCATAGTATTAGGAGACCGGCAAGGGGAAACGACGACTCATCCCAACGCGTCTGGAGCAAAATGACTCCAAATGCAAACGCGTCTAACGTGAAGCATCAGACGCCTTCAGTGTAAACGCAGCATAAGGTAAATGAATGGAAAGGTTGTAACATGGTAAAATGTGAAAACAGATATAAAAACAGCTGCACAAACAGAGGTCAGCACTTGAAAGTCGGGAGATTTAACTGAATGTAAATGTGGGTAAAGATGGACGGCCTTAAAAATACTCTAAAGAAATCACTAACAGAATCGTCAACAATAGCAGCAACCCTTTGCTATGGCTTGATGCCTTTACAAATCAGTCATGTTGGCCAGAAAGGATTTTCTTTTTTATGAAAATCTCTCCTATCAAACCTGCACTCTACTCCTAGAGTGCTCCAGCCATTTCATCAGACCTTGGTTCTGATTTTCACTTTTTTTTGTAAGGTCACAGAAAATATTTCCATTTGATTTCTCTTCCATTAACGTCATGCTCTGCATGCGGTGGAGTCTGCAAATCCCCAAAAGGAAGCTGTCTTAAAAACAAAAGCATTTCTTATAGCATTTTACCTCAGCAGTTTGTTGTTGAGCATAATGTTGTAATTTACCAGCCGTAACTTTAACAGCTTACTTTTTATTAGAATTATTTACTTTGATTTTCTGTTTGATTTTCAGGTGATTTTGCTGATATTTAAAAGCAGCTGTAGATATTTTTATAGGCGATATGGCAGTTTGCCCAGGGCAGCAGTGTGGTAGGGGTGACTCCTTTTTGTCCCTTCAACCCAGAATAACTTTACCAGCTGATATTTGCATGTTATTTTAATAAATATCTTTTGCTCCCCTGTGCTGTTCACTCAAACAGCAGTATCAAATTGTAGGCTTTGACTCCAAAAGGGGAATTTCAAAACATATTTAAAGAAACTGGACCATATTTGGGCTATTTATTTAAAAAAAACACGCATTTTGAAATTGTGAAACACTTACTTGCTGATTTTACTACTTATAAAGTATGTGTTTGATTGAAATTATTTGCGTTTTATTTTTTTCTGTTAACTCCCAACATTTGTCCCATGTTCCAAAGTTTGAGCATTTTTATTTTAAATGGTCAAAACAGCAATGCAGTGTTTTCACATGTAAAAAAGAAAAGTAATTTAATCTTTAACAGCCGCTCTTTTCACCTGAACTGAACCCAGTTGTTAGACAGGATTTACGGTGAAAGAAAACAATCCTTTTCTCTGAACGGCGTCTGGGAGGTTGTGGTTTCTCCTGCACAGAGTTGATCGTTAATAAATCAGAAAAATGACAGACTCCATAAAGAAAAAGCTTCTCCCTGTTTTTAAAGAAAGGAGGCTGAGCGCGTTTGATTTTGAATGGTAGAAATTTGAATTTATTTAAAAATCTAACTTAAAAAAAGCAGATGGGGAAAATGTTTTTCATTTTGTTGTGTAATAATTCTGCCCAATAGTTTAAGTTTATTTTCAACACAAGTTTTTTTATTTTGTGTCTTCATTGTTTTTCAGTTTTATTGTAAGGAATATTTAATGTGTTGGTTTTGTTTTATCAAAATGATTCAAAAAATGAATTTAAGTAAGAGTTAATGAAAATAAAAGAAGTTAATAAAAAAAGAGAATCTGACCAAGAATCAAAACATCAATTATTTAATATTTAAAAACTACATCATCAGACTGGGCTTTTTATGTAGAAATCTGGGGTATTTTAAAAGCCAAAATGAAAATAATTGATCAGGAAAATAAATAGTTTTTTTTTTCTTTCAGTTTAAAACAAATCAAATTTTAACAAAAACTGCAGGTGTCTGGTGAATTTGTGGTTAAAATGAGGTTTTTCTTCATTCAGTAGAATTACTCAGTGGATAGAGTATCCAGACATTTTACTCAAGTAAAAGTATTTTTTTCCAAAACTTTACTAAAGTAAATGTAACCAGTTACTACCAACTGTGGTTTGAAGGAAGCGGGGCCGCGTCAGGGCCCCATTCAGACGAGAACCGCCCCTGGCCGACCGGCAGCTTTACATCAGATTCCCGTTAACAAGCCCCAGCCTTAAAAGCTGGGAAAGGTGTTGCGTGAGAGCCATATTTAGCCTCATAAAACGCAATTGTGCTTTTCAGCTTCTCTAATTATAGTCAAAATGAAGCAGACGCTTTTATTATCAACCTTCCGGTTTGTTCTTAGATTATCACCTCATTAACTGAGATTAGTTTTATGATCTCGGAGCTTTCTTCAGAGACCAAGAACTCACATCCTGCCATCAAACCTTTAAAACGCACCAGAAACATCTGCGGGACTGAAGAGCACCGCAGGAGCGGTGACTAACGGAGGGGGAGGGTTTGGGGCTCTGTCGTCACCGGGAGCTGCAGCAGCAGCATCAGCATCACTGGAGTGAGTAAAGGCAACAACAGTGCGCAACTTGGAGAAATAACTCCACAGTCCGGCCGGAGGAGCGCGCATGTGTCCGTCTGCCGAAACGCGTCCAGGCGGTCAGACCCACGCGTTGATGCGGGAGTAAATGAACCAGAAGCTCCGCTCGCTGTGGCCGTGCAACCAG